AGCTCGTGTCTCACTCCGATACAAATCACATCCTATGGGAACGTCGCTGCACTTCAGAATTCCGTCAATCTCGTCCCCGCAATGGAGGATGGGGTGCGGCCTGACATGACCTGACGTGACCTGCTCCCACATTCCACAAGGACTCTCCCCCTTCACATGACCGAGAACCTTCATTGAGAAATTCAACCGACTGGGAGCCGTGTTACAACAACAACAACAACAAGTGCCCTTTACAGAGCGCCTTTCACATCGGGAGGACGTCCCAATTACACTGTATAATTGGGATGTAACACAGAGAGCCGGGGTATGTGCTCTGCTCACTCATTCACTTGCTGGCTCTCTCGGGTAGATCAGAGACTGAGCACGATGGAGCAGGGCTGATCTCGTCACATCATTTATTTAAACCTGTTTTTCAGCTTTGTACTTGGAGTCAAATCTGCAACACAAACACTCTGATTCCAATACCCGCTGTCTGGACAGACGTGCAAAACAGTTATTTGTACATTATTTTTTGCCAAGTATTTGATACAGTGGAAACCCTTCAAACCAGACAGAGTTCCATGATTGTCTGCCTTCCACACGCGGGAATCTCCCCATGTATTGGAATGGAATGTGCACTCTCTCCCTGGAGAGACTCATCCTGCTTACCTAATTCTGGAGGGCATTAAGGGTGCAGGTTGGCAAGAGCCAAGGCTTGGGGAACTACTACACGTGAGATTAGGTAACTACTGAAGTCCTTAAAAAGCACTTCACAGGATTTACTGCGGTTTAGTGATGGTGTATTTTGTAGGCAAATGCGGCAGCCAGTTCGCGTACTGCACAACGTCCCACAAGCAGCCATGGAGTGAGTGAGTGATTTTATTTGGGGGATTGTCAGCCAGTACACCAAGAGAAAGAAACTCCCTACTCTTTTCCTCTAAAATCATGGGATCTTCAACATCCACCTGAACAGGCAGAGGGGACCTCGGTTTAACGTCTCATCCAAAGAATGGCACCTCCGATAATGCTGTGCTGGTCCTTTGAAAGGAAAGGTCCTTTGAAATAAATGTGAATAGGTTTTAAAGAGAAGCTCTTTCTGTATCTTACACATTAATGGGAGTAATTAACTGTTATACAATGACTGGCTTCACATGACCTCGTGCCCAGCTCAGACAGAAATATATCTGGAATGGACTCAAAACGATCATTTTGTTTTTAATTATAAATCGGGAGCACTAGTTATTAAATTAATATCGGCACTGCAGGGAATGAGCGTTGGTGTCTGACTGACGTAAATTTTTAATACGCTGATTAAAAGTGATTTCATTCAACGTGTTGGATTTCAAATCGCAAATAATTGCAAGCAATTTTAATAACTTTTTCTGAAATATTAATGGAACCACAGTTACCAGGGATTATTTCCTCCCCGCCCCCCGGCCCACCCCCGCCCCCCCACCACCACCAACTGACGCTCAAGGAGCAGAGAGGACACAGGACTTCAGCTTCCTGCCAATCCTCCTGTCTCTGTCAGGCAGTCCGTCCAACATCTCACCTGGTCTCGTCCTGCCAGGCTGTTTTGTTTTAATAATAAATATTTCTTCTATTTTCATGTTGAAATGTCTCAAAGTGCTTCAAGAAGTTTTCTGTAACGAGCAGTGACTGTATTTTGCGGGCAAACTTGGCAGCCAATTTGCAAACAGCAGCGTCCCCACAAACAGTCATATCCATGGAGTGAATGACTCATTTTTTTGGGGGGTATTGTTAGCCAGGACGCCAGGAGAGAGAGAAACTCCCTTCTCTTTTCCAATAGCGACCCAGGATCCCCATCCCCCAGAAGATCGAATTCAAGATCCTCAACCTCACCCACAAGGCCATTCACGGCCTCGCTCCCTCCTACCTCTCTGACCTACTATCCTCCTACTTACCCGCCCGTACCCTCCGTTCCTCTGGCTCCGGTCTGCTCCAAAACCCCCGCCCCAATCGCCCTACCATCGGTGGCCGGGCCTTCAGCCTCTCAGCCCCGAGGCTCTGGAACTCCATCCCCCAGTGCCTTCGCCGCTTCCTCCCTTTCCTCCTTCAAGGCCGGTCTCAAGACCTTTCTCTTTGACCGTGCCTTCAGCTCCCCTCTCGACTCTTTACCCCCTCCTCGCTCCCTCCCTTCCCCTCACCCTGACCATTTCCCCCCTGCTCGGGTCCTGACCCAACTGTACAGCGCCTTGGGACGTCCTCCCAACGTGAAAGGCGCTCTATAAATGGAATGTTGTTGTTGTTGTTTAATATCCAGACAGAGTAGAATTCAGTTTAATGTCTCATCTGAAGGGCCGCTCCTCTGACAACAGGAATCTGGTTGTTAGTCGATTGGTGGATCCCTTCTCCGGGGGTAAAAATCCCTTCCAAAAAAATAAGAATAATTTGGTCACTCAATCCACGACTATTTGTGGGACATTGCTGTGTGCAATTGGTCCTGGAGGCATTGAGAATCGTGTTGGGGAAATTGGGTCTGGAAACTTGGGGGCTATCTCCTGCCTGTTCAATGAATACTGTGAGTCATCTCGAAGACCTGTATCAAATGCAAGGATTATTATTATTATTAAACCCTCCCACTCCAATCAGCTCTGTTCTTCCCCGGCCCCCTCGCCCCCCCCCCCCCCCCCACCACCCCCAACCCAGCAAATCATCCCCCCCGTTATTCTTCGGGGAGAGGAAGTCCTTCCAAACCTCCCTCACTCCACTTTTCAGTATATCCTGTGAAGTGCATTGAGACATCTCAAATGCAAGGATTAATACTTAATTAAAACCTGTGGAGCTGTTTGAGATGTCTCGACAACATGAAAGGACCTAGATAAATAAACACAAGATTATTTAATTTGCAAGCTGGATTTCTACAGTGAATAAAAAGAAACCGACTCCCGAATTCAGATGGAGCCAAGGAAGTTGCCACAACTCCCCAGGATTCCAAGCCCCGGATGTGTCACAGGCCGAGACTAAGTGGAATTCCAGGCCCCGGAACGTGAAGAGGGAACGTGCAAAGCTGACAGCCTCCCTGAGCGGAGACAAAAGCCAGCATCACACACTCCCTGTTCTTGATCCGCACAGCACTGCAGGCTGTGAACAGTAAGCAGCCCCCTATGGCAAAGACTTGGGAGAGGCAGCGAGCTCTGTGAGGACTGAAATATAAATGAAGTTGCACATCAATCCTCCTGCCAAGAAAAACAATCCGAAGGAATGGGTATTTAATGGGAACAAAGTCGTAAACATAGATAAAAACTTGAGCACTGATCAGTCCCATCCCCACAGCTCCCTTGACACTGGCTGGGGAGGAGGCCAGGAGGGGCGGGGAGCAACCAAGGGTCAGCTTTCCATACACTCACCACGTCTCGAGTAATGACTGTCAAGTGTGTTTGAAGGTGACTTCGCTGCCAATTTATGTGCCCATAAACAGGTGTGAAGTGAATGGCCAGTTGTCAGCCAGGGCAGCGAGAGAGAGAGAAAAACTCCCCTTTTCTTTTCAAATAGAACATTCACCTGAACCAGGGAACAACAACGAGTAGCGTGTATCCAGCGCCCTTCAACCGCGTTTGAAGGGCACTGGAACATTTGAAACAAGACGGGAGCTTGCCTTAACGTCTCGTCCAAAAGACGGCACCTCTGACAATGCAACAGACCCCAGCGCTGCACTGGGACCGTCAACCTTGACAAATTTGCGCCTGTCTGCGCTTCAACATCCTGCCCCCCCCACCCACCCACCGCCACTCCCCCCCAGCGACACACGTTACCCCAGGATGGGACCGGAGGGTCGCAGACGAGAGTGATGCGGGGTTTGAAGTCCCGAGAGCAGGGTAGCTGAGCCGGGCTGGCAGACAGCAGCCGCCACCCCCGTCCCAGTCACCGCTTTCTCTATGAGCTGCACACACTGAATCCCGCAGTGAAGCAGAGGGAAAGGAAGAAAAGATTAAATATTAAATGGGAACATTTGCTCTCGCTGCCTGGACAAGCTACTAATCACATCCACGGCAAGGTCTGAGCTGCACAGAGTGTACAGCCTCGGGAGGAACGTGCTGCCTGCCATTGCAGCCAGACTCTCGACACTGGGGACAGGGAGTTTGAGAGGCTAGAGCTTTACCTAACTGGCTCACCGTGTATCTCCCTCTTAACTCCCTCTCCCCAAGGGCTGGTACATCCCCTGGGAGCCAGTACATACTTTGGCCCCAACCATCAGTGATAAAGTCAGGGGTCGGCAAGGGAGGGAGAGAGGGAGACAGTCATATTAGTGCTAGCCTGGCTCAGTGCCAGGACTCTCATCCAAACATATACAGTCAATTACGGTGACTCACTTTACATCCCTCCGTGGATGTTTGTGGGACATTGCTGTTTGTGAATTGGCTGCCGTAAAAATACACCTAGAAAACACACAGTCACCACACTTCACAGTAAATCCAGGGAAGCTCTTTGAGACGTCTCAATGACATGATAAGGCGCTGTTTCAAATGCAAAGGTTATTGTTTTGTGTGATGTCCTCTGCCCCTGCACTCAGGAACTCCATTCCTCTGTCCTTCCAACTCGTTCACTTGCTCAATTCTTTCTAGGTCCGTTTTAAGACCTTTCTCTGTGACCTTAACTTCGGTCATCTCCCCCCCACTCCCCCTGTTTCCCACACCCAGCCGATGTCCACCCAGGATTCCAGGGATGTTAGCACCTTGGGACGTCCTTCTGATAGGAACAATAACAACTTGCATTTATATAGCGTCCCAGCACACTTGACAGTGGTGGAGACTGACAACGAGCCAGGGGGAGAGGGAGGTGACCGTAAGCACAATCAGAAAGGAAGGTCTTGAGGTAGGATTTGAAGGTGGGGAGGGAGGGGGAAAGGAGAAAGGCGTTATATAAATGTAAATTGTACATAACAATTCTCACATGTTGTGATTTTCTTTTGACTCTTCACCCCCAAAGCCCAAAGTCCTCTCCCTCAGGGACATTCTCACCTTGCTGTAAACTCTCCTGGTTTCTCTCCCGTCTCACAGAATTCCTGAGGTGCGGATTTTGGACAACGGACCTTTCGAGTGTCACGTTGGGATATACGACCGGACAAATCGCAAGAAGTTTCTAGAAGCTTACGGTCAGGTGTTTCTGAATGTCATGGGTAAGATAACAGAATGTGAAGTGTATGCTAGTCAGTGTATGTGTGAGAAAGTGTGTGTGTGTGTGTTTTTTGTAGGTGTGAGTGTGTGTGGCGTATGTGTGTGGCACGTGTGTGTGTGTGTGGCGTGTGTGTATATGTATGTGTGTGAGTGTGTGAGTGTGTTTTTTGAGAGTGAGTGTGTGTGTCATGGTTGCTGAGGTCCCACCTGTGACGGTGACAGTGGATGTTAAAGATCCTGCGACACTTTTGAATAAGAGGAGTCTCCCAGCATCCTGGCTGACAATCCTCCCGGCAAAATTGATGTCTCACCTCCTGACTGTGCGCAGGACCTGATACACAGTCACTACACGTGACGCCAATTAGCTGTGAGATGTTCTAGCTGCTGGTTGAAAGCCAAGGATTACTCTTCTTGCTCTGACGGGTGAATAGACAGCAAAGCAGCTTGATTCTGTACAACATTGCTTGGCTGGTTCCATCCCATTAGCTTCCACCCCATTAGTTCGCCTGGAACAAGCAACACAGCATCGTCCTCCCTCTCTTCAACTAACAAAGGAGGTTAGCAGCCCAGTGAGTCGGCGCTGGTGCTCACTCCTCCACCTGCTCTGCACTCCAGTCCCAATGCTCTGCTCTTTCCTCTTATATTAATTCTCTGCAAACAGGTCATTCAATTCAGGTCGTTAGATGTGTCTCACACACTCACTCACTAACACTTACAAAACCACACTCATGCACACAGTCACACATACTCACTCTCACTCACTCACTGAATCCCTCACTCACACACACACAGCAATGTCCGAGCTTCCCTTGTCTCTCTCTCTCTAACTACCCTTAAACATACTTCAGTCGTTTGTGTGTCTCAGCCTCATTCAGGTCAAAAACCCAGAGCTGACACATGATGGACGGACGTCCTAGTTTAACCTCGTGAAGAACAGGCATTCTTTTCGAAGAGTTTTTTTTCAAGCCTTTGAATTGCATTCGCCCCACCATGGGCAAGTGCACTTTCAGCCACTACATTCCGAAACTCTGGAACACCCTTCCTCTATCCCTCCGCCTTGTCCCTTCCTTCCCCATTTTCAGGTCGCACCTTCCTATTCGACCGTGCCTTCTGTCACCCTCGGCTCGGTGTTGTGCTCCGTTACTGTCAAGGCCTCGGATGGTACCCTGCGTGAGGGACGCTATGTAAGTGCAAGTTGTTGTTGTGGTTGTTGGGTTTGCCATCTGTCTGCCCATCTTCCTCCCACTAATCAGGGATGGAGTCAAACTGAATATCCTAGAGGTGAAACTACTTCGCTCCCAGCAGCACGGCAAAATAATTATCAAAAGGGGAGAGGAGGAGAGAGGAGAGAAAATAGGAGGGGGAGAGGAGAGGATAGAGGAGGAGAGAGGAGGGGAAAGGATAGAAAGAGGAGGGTGGGAGAAGGGAGGGGGTTATCAGATCAAGCTTGTCATTGAAGACAGGGCACGTTCTGTCCTTGTGATAATTACCACATCACATAGCATAGGTTTGCTCCCCAGTCGCAGGAGTTAATCACACGACATAAGAAAAGGAGACGTAATCCTTATTTCATGAGTTTAATCAGGAGAGAGAGAAACTGATTACCCACAGGGCGGGTGAGAGGGTTCTCATTTCCTTAAAGAGACAATTTGATTTCACCCCCCACCTCCCCCACCGAAACAAAATCCTTAGACATAAAAATTATCATTTAAATGAAGATGGTCTGACTTTAGTGTGTGAGTAACACTGGCCTGATCTGAATACAGGCTGTGTCTGCTCGTTAATAATTTGCTGGAGAAGTGGTAGCTTGGTCATGTCAGCCTCTGAAACGGGGGGGAATATCTGCGGAGTTTTCAGACTTTTGAACCCCTCACATCAGTCTTGACATTTCACCGTTAAAACACACAGTGCTGGCTGGCAACACTCCACACTGTAATCACTCACCCCGAGAGCGAGGCACTTTCTCCGTGTTAAACCAGAGTTAGTGAATCCCTTAGTTAGTGTCCAATGATAATAATAATAATCCTTGCATTTAATATAGTACCTAATCACGTCGTTAAGACGCCTCAAAGCATTTCACAGACTATATATACTGTAAAGTGAATTGACTGTATATTTTGTGGGCGAAACACGGCAGCTAATTGCACACAACAGCGTCCCACAAACAGTAATGGATTGAGTTACCAAATTATTTTTTTTTGGAGAAATTATTACCCCTGGAAAGTGATCCACCAGTAGACTAACAACCGGGTTCCTACTTATTGCTAGGTAAACAGAGGCGTGTGGAGTAAGGAAACTTACCCAAAGTTTCGTCCCACCCGGGAATTGAACCCAGGCCCTCTCGCTTGCGAAGCGAGTACTCTCACCCTGGAAAGTAACCATCTGTGACCCTCCCCCCGCCCCTTCCCTCCCAACTCCCCTCAGCAACCGTGCTTTAAACCATTGAAATTCACATTTATTCTGTCTTGTCAGTTTCCTTCAGTTCTGCTTCGTTTGTAAAATGCCAGAGTTTTTTTCGTGCAAAAAGTTTTTTTTAAATGAAGCCGTTTTGAGTATTTGAGTGTGCGTCAGCCTGGCTCAATTGGTAGCGCTCTCGCCTCTGACAAAGTTAGAAGGTTGTGGGTTCAAGCCCCACATCAGGACTTGGAATTATATAGTCTAGGATGACGTTCCAATGCAGCGCTGGGGGTGTGCTGCATTGTTGGAGGTGCCGGTCTTTGGATGAGGCTTCAAAGTGACGTCTGCCTGTTCAGGTGGATGTTAAAGACCCCGTGGAATTATTCGAGGTGAGAAGTAAGTTTCTCTCACCCAGTATCCTGGCCAACAATCCCTAGATAAAATTGATAACTCACTCCATGGCTGTTTGTGAACTTCGCTGTGCACAAATTGACTGCCACATTCACCCACAAAATATGAAGTCACTCCATTTTATAATATATCTTGTGAAGCACTTTGAGACGTCCTCCTGACGTGAAAGGCGCTGTATGAAATGGGAGGATGATTATTATTATTATTATACAAGACAAAACAAATTTGATTTGATTTTCTGGTTGTGTGAGTCTGTGGTGGGAGAGGAGATGTGCGCGTGAGGGCACATCAGCCAAACACAACTACGGGTTGTATTCTGGTGACACAGCAAATAGGTGCAAACAAGGCCGGTTCAAGCACAGCAAGAATCAGGAGCTCATTTCAAACATCTCCATCCAAGCAGAGAGCTCCTCCACAGCACAATCCTGCTGGCCTAGACCAGGGAGTGAGAAGCAATGAGTCCCTAACCTTAACCCTAACCCATGACTATCTAAGCCACAGACAAGCATATTGCCAGCGGAGCGAGGCTGACAGCCACAGCACTGACGCCTGAGCGAATCCCAGTCTCTGCCTGGATATTAAAGATCATGTGTTGCTATTGGAAAAGAGAAGGGAATTTGTCCTGGCCAACAATCCCTCAAATAATATAATTCATTCACTCTTTGTGGGGACATTGCTCTGCACAAATTGGTTGCCGCATTTGTCTGCAAAACACACAATCACTCCACTTTACAGAAAACGCCTTGGTCCCTTGCTGTGGGGAAGGTAAACTTTCACTGGGACTGGACTGAGTCTCAGGAGACTGGGTGACAATAATTTGGGCATTTTTAGGCCATTCACAGGCTTGCATTTGGTACAGTGCCTTAACTTGTTGTCAAAACGTCTCAAGGAGCTTTGTGTATTCTGCAAGCAAATACAACAGCTAATTTACACATAGCAACATCCTCCAAAGAGCCTGAAAGCGAACAATCAATTTTATCTCACAAGATCACAAGATTGATTCAGATCTCAATCATCAGAAACCCTTTTCTGATCGCCCTCCATCACAGCATCAGCTGCAGTTTAAATGTCCTCCAGATGAACCCTTCTCGACCACCCTTCCTGTTCCATTTGTTAATTACCCCATTGAGTAAAGAAAAACTTCCTGGTGTCTGCCCTGAAATTGCCCTTTGTCGCGCTCTGGGGCGCTACCCTGTGCAAGCAGTGGGGGGGGGGGGGCACTAAATAAATGCAAGTTGTTGTTGATGTTAAAGCGAAGGGAGTTTCTCTTGGTATCTTGGCTAATTGTCAGATGCTGCAAGAGTAAAGCTCAGAGTTCTCAAAGTCACAAACTCTGGCAGCAAATCCTGCAAGAATCATTTGATAAAAGCCGACCCGCTGGTAAGTGGATCGTGATGGCTTCCTGGCTCCGATGTCGGGCAATAAATTCACTTACAGCGGGATTTGCGAGCAACCCATTAGCCACTTTACAAAGCTCGTCTGAGCATCTCTGCTCGGCACAGTCGATACGGCAAAAAATACTGAATGGAAATAGTTGGCAAGGAAAAGATTAACTTTGTAAAGTAGGCTTGTTGTTGTCCTGAGCTGAAATCTGACAGCAAATTAATTGTGTTTCGTCACCCAGCTCAGAGCTCAATTAGGAAACTTTTTTTTCCGCTGAGCTCAGGAGTTCTGCTGGGCGAATGCTAAAGGAAGAGAGTGTATTTTTAGAGATTTATCTTGTCAAACCATTTCGCAGGTAATTACTGTCAGCGTGGTGACTTGTTTTGTGAGAAAAATGCCTCAAACCGATCTCACAAACACCAACCGGCAGGAAATGAATGAGCGATTTATCTGGGGAGAATTGTCAGCCAGGCCAGCACACCGGGAGAGAGAAACTTGCTTCGCTTTTCTGGTCGTGTAGCGAGAGCTTTTGATGTCAAACGCCCAAACAGGGCACAGAAAAAGAGGAGAGAGACGTGGAGAGAGAGAGGGGCAAAGAGTGAGAGGTTAAGAGGGGTGGGGCGGTTTGGGGTGGATGGGAGAGTGAGAGGAGAGAGGGTTTAACTAACAAAGATAGATGTTTGTTTGGTCAGGGTATTATGGGACGTGGGGCAAGGATGGGCAACCTGACTTGAGGTACAGATCAGCCATGAACCTAGAGAATGGCTTGAGGGGCTGCATAGCTTACTCCTGTTTCTATACTAACACATCATTTCAAGCCCTCCAGGAGGCTGCCCCATGTAAAGAGCGCTATATAAATGTAATTTGTTGTTGTTGTTTTTGACACCTCTGTCAATGAGGCTCTCCCCCAGCACCACATGTCGCACTGTGAGCTCAGGGTCCCAGCCTGGGCCTGCAACCCATCATCTTCAAATTTTTAAGGGTTGGAGCGCTCCCGACTGATGTCAGCCTGGCTCAGCTGGTAGCTTCTTGTCTCTGAGTCAGAAAGGAATTTAACAGTGTGCCAGGGGAATAAATAGACCCAAGAAAAAACATGCAGTATTAATAACGCTCCTTTCGTTTGATACAGGAATGGGCGGTTCAAAACGCCTCACAGGATTTACTGTAAAGTGGAGTAACTGTGTGATTTGTGGGCAAATGCACACAATTGATAGCATTGAATTCCGCCTCCTCTCTAATTTTCTGCTCTTCCCCTCTTGAAGGTTATGGCTTGTCTGGTTCCACAGACTTTGGCTGCCCTCCAGGACATTGCCGAGTGTTAGGATAGTCACACTCTTGCATTTGGGTCAGAAGGCTGTGGGTTTGATCACCACAATGGGGGGAGAGCGCTGCATTTTTAGAGGTGTCGTCCTTCAGTTGAGAAGGTGGGTTTGGGTGGCCGTTAAAGATGCCATGATACCATTCGAAAAGAGAAGGCAGTTTCTCCCAGTGTCTGGTCGACAATCACCCAAATAAAATCCATTATCCATCATGGCTGTGACAGTCAAACCACGTTACAGTTATAAGGTGTTTTCTAAACACAACATAACTGTGAAAGAGAAGGGACTTTCTAGCTACTGGTGTCCTGGCCAACAATCCCCCAGATATAATTGGTCACTCACTGCATGGCTGTTTGTGGGGTTGACATGGATCTTGAAACAAGGACCTTGTGTTCTGATGGACTGAACCAAACTAACAGCTAATGCAGCACAATTTATATTTATAGCATGCTTTTCACGTCTGCATGACAAAGTGAAGTCCAACTTTTACTTGTACATTAAGAAACGGTTTAATTATAAGCGATTGACTCTCGCTGTTCACAAGAATCCTGTGTATCTCTGAGCCCCAGGCTGAAGCCCGGGCTTTCTTTAATAATGTAAATTATTTTAATTTTAAACAGCAATATGAATGAATTTTTTTAGGCACACAGCGAATTAATGAGCGGCACTAATTAGATGTAATTTACATATGGACACAAGGTTAATTACTATTGTCTTTCTTTTACAATTTAACCAAACATTTCCTGTCTTTGTTAAACTTTCTGAGTTAATTGACTTCATCAAGGGAAGTTGCTGGGCTGGAGCGTGAGTGAATAGGGCATAAACAGGAAGCATCTCGCTCAGTGTCTCACACATACGGAAATCCTTTGTGTCCTACTTGGCTAATTCCAAAGCGTATTAGGCGCAATTGGAAAGAGCCAACTCTTGGGAGACTCCAAAGTGTGCGTTGGGGTAACCGCTGGAGTCTAACCAGCTAAACCCATATAGCTTGGCCATTGATATCTCTGTCTGGCAAGCTTTTCGCTGCTTTTCCAGCTAGGTCCACCTGACCCGTTAGGGCTTTGGCTGCAGGGTTAACAGGAGCTGAGTGGGACTCCCAAGAATTCCTTGCCTTCGGTGAATGGTCTGTCTTTCTAGATCCTGCCGATGAGCCAGGCTGGGCTGTGCTGTCATCAGCAGAGCCCTGGAATAGTGCGGACCCACCCGGCTCAGGAAGGGGACTAGAGACCGTCACAGAGGGTTGGCTCAATTCTGACGTTCCGTTGCAAAAGCATGTCACCTTGGAGTTCAGCCCCAAGCCCCGACCCCTCTTACCTGCACCCCAAGTCTGATTGTCGCTAGTTTGCACCTATCTTCAAGGATAAACAATGAGTCACAAATGCAAGAACAAGTCACAAATACCTTTTAACTCAAGCCACCAGCTCTCAGCTCGCTCGGTCTGCTGTTATTTACAGTAATTGAAGCCAAAGCCTCTCTAGTTCACTCTGAGCTTTTGATGACAGCTTGAAATGGCCGGCCAGACACCACCCGACCTGATATCAGCCTCTCGTTACCTCAGACTAAGTGTCTGAAAATCTTTTTTGCAGCTTTGCCTCGACTTTCATTAGCTCAGTGAAGTGGCTGTTTTATTGGGTGGAATCACACACTTGCATCTCTGGGGAGAGATCAGGCAGGTTATCTCACCCATGAAGACAGTGTTGGACTTGCTGATTTATTTGTTTTGATCTTTGTGTCCGAGATTATAGAATAGAATCACAGAATATTACAGCGCAGAAGGAGGCCATTCGGCCCATTGTGCCTCTGCCGGCTAATTGGAGGAGCTGCACAATCAGTCCCACTCCCTGCTCGTTCTCCGTATCCTTGCAAATTTTCCCTTTTCAAGTACCTATCTCATACTCCCTTGAAAGTTGTTATGGAATCTGTTTCCACCAGCCTTTCAGGCAGTGCATTCCATATCGTACTTTCCTGTAGGGTGAATGACTCGAAATGAGATGGCCGTGTGTTTTGGTGATGGTTTATAGGGAGAGGCTGGAAGCGGGACCCAGTGGACAATGACTGAAGTCTTGGCCATCAATGTTGGGGGACAGGGGGAGTGAGGAATGAGCAGTAAGCGCATCAGGGAGTTTGGAGAGAGTGGGGAGAGCTGAGTCATGAAGGGGTTTTGAAGATCATGACAAGACATTTAAAGCCAATCACTGGGACTATGACAGGACTTTCAACAACAACTTGCATTTACACAGCATCCCTCACCCAGGTTAGCATCCCAGAGCGCTAGACAATGGCGGAGCACGACGCCGGGGGGTGGGTGGACGGTGATCATAGTTGAATCGGGGTGCAGTGGCTGAAATGTGGCTGCCAATTGTGGAACTCCAAGACGCTACCCTGCGTGGAGGGCGCTATGTAAGCGCAAGTTGTCATTGTTGTTTGTTGACATGTTTCCATTTCTGCGTAAAATCTCCATGGATTCCTTTCAGGGGTATGACAATGTCACTTTGTGAGATATGCAGTCTCTCTCCCTCCTCGGCCTCGTTTCGGTATCGCTATCAGGTGAGTCTGGCACTACCCCATCCTGGAGCTCACAACATTCCTGGGCCAAACTCCAGTGACTGGTTTATAACAACAGGCAAATGCTGTGCTGAGTTTGGCAGACTTGGAGCACTCCTAAAGTTAGCGTTAGTCACTTTTCTCTCTCTCTCTCTCTCTCTCTCTCTCTCTCTCTCTTTCGCTCTGATTGTCTCGGCCAGTAACGTATAAAAACGATCTCTCTCTCTGAACGCAGACTCTCTCGCCCGCATTCTTGTCGCTGGGTCAGAAGCATGTGGGGTCAACGGCCTTGAGTTCCGAGTCGAGGCTGACCTGACCCTCCAGCGCGGTTGTTGGCTCCTTCAGATCTGAGCATTAAACCAAGGTCCCGTCTGCAACATGTTGATCGAGGCTTCTTGTCTTGTGTTTCAGCACCACCTGCCTCCATCTCGGTGATCGCCGCAGACACGCCCGCTGCGTTCAGCCGATACCAAGCGCAGAACTTCACCCTGGTCTGTATCGTGTCGGGGGGGAAGCCTGCGCCCACGGTGAGTCTTATACAGAACCCTGGCTTTGTCCGCCCCCCCCCACCCCCACTCCTCTGCTCGCTTCCGTCGCTGCACCTCTAATCTCTGGCCGTCCCTCACTCTACCTCTCCACTTTGCTTCTTCACTCTACCCCTCTACATCGAGCCCCCACTTCCCCCCACCTCATTCATTTATGCCTGTGGTCCACGTGGGCCTATGTGGGATCTTGTAGCTCAGTGGTTAGAGTGCTCGCCTTGCAAGCGAGAGGGTTCGATTCCCGGGCAGGGCGAAACCTTAGGCAAGTTTCCTTACGCTACACACACACACACATACACAAACACACACAGAGATACACACACACCCAAAGACACACACACACACACACAGAGACACAGACACACACACAAAGACACACACACATACACACACCTTTGTTTACCTAGAAGTTAGTAGGAACCCAGTTGTGAGTCGATTAGCGGATTGCTTTTCTTTAAAAAGAAAAATAATAATTTCTTCACTCAAATCCATGACTGTCTGTGGGACGCTGCTGTGTGAGCAATTGGCTGTTGCGTTTCGCCCACAAAATATACAGTCAATTCACTTTGAGATGCATCAATGATGTAATAAGGCGCTGTATTAAATACCAAGAGAACTTAGCCCAAATTACATGTGTACAGAGCCTTTCATGTCGGGAGGATGTCCAAGGTACTGGATAGTCTGAGATTTGGGCCTGAGCTGGGGGTTGAGTTCAGGAGGGGTAGAGGGCAGGAAAGGTAGGTAGGAGGGTTACTGAATGCGCTGGCGATGATGGGTCAGGCCGGGTGATGGGGAGGGCATGGAACTGGCTGAGTCCGCTGAATGGAGGAAGTGGGCAGGTTAGGGGAAGCAGAAGTGGAGGGGTAGAGTTAGGCGCTGGCAGACTGGGGGTGTGACGGATTGCCCTGGGCTTGTCCTCGGCAGGTCTACTTCAAGCGGGACGGAGAGCTACTGGAGGTACAGCTGGCCTTGGAGACTGGGGGGCGGGGGTCTCCAGGGGGCCGAGGGGCCGCGGGGGCCCGCAGGCCTCAGAACCTCATCAGCCGTGACCTGGACGACACCAAGCTACAGAAGTCCCTGTCGCTGCTGGACCTGGACAGCGCCCGAGGCTTCTTCACTGATAGGCCCTCACCCACCCACTTCCCCGACGGCGAGTTCCAGGCCACCAGCCAGACAGAAGCCATCCCCGAGACGGTGATCAGCCGGGAATTTCCCCGGTGGATTTACCCTAGCGATCCCGAGTACGTGTTCCGCCACACGCAGATCCCCGTCAGCGATGGCACCATCGAGGTCCGTGCCATGATCACGTGGATGTTGAACCCTGACCTGGACAATAACGCCCTCTTTAGCTGTGAGGTCAAGCACCCCGCACTGACCATGTCCATGCAGTCGGAGGTCATACTGGGTAAGTCGCTCTTCTTTGCACAGCAGTCCGGGTGTCTGACACACACACACACACATCATTGTGCTTAAGCATATTCAACTGAGAATTCCATGCATCCCACCTACATTTATCTCATTTACAGCCAGTGGGGGAATGGGGGAGGACGGGGTCTTCAGGAATGGAAGGTAAAATGTTTTTGTGTGCCAACCATCAAATGGAATCTATCACGAATGGTGTTGTTGCCGTTTTGTTGCTGTGTAAGTAACTCACAGACGCTCGAAATCTTCACAGTGAGCCTGTGTGTGTGTGTGTGTGTCTTTATGTATATATGTGTGTGTGTATATGTGTGTGTGTGTGCCTCTGTGTGTGTGGTTATGCGGGCGTGTGTATGTCTGCCTGTGTATGTGTCTGTGTTGTGCTCGTGTGTGTATGTGTGTTTACATGTGTGTATGCGTGTGTGTGTGTATGCGTGTGATTGTGTGTGTGTGTACATGTGTGTGTGTGTGTGCGTGTGATTGTGTGTGTGTGTGTTTGACCCTGGGCAGAGCAATGCTAATTGGAACTAGCGGCTTCAGCCATGCACTGTGTGTCTCTGTGATGTGCAGAAGATTCTAACACCGAGTCACATCAGGGTGACAGCAGCCGTGGCTTGTCTGATGAATTAAACATGCGCTATCTCTGCGAAGACCTGGGTAATGAGAGGGAAAGTGCCCATCGCCGTTCACTCTGCTGTCTTCAGAATGAACCACCACCCAACACAACAACAACTTGCATTTATATAGTGCCCTTCACGGCAGACTGCATCTCAAACCCACCCACCCTTCCCTTGCCCTCAAGAGCTCTGGGACTCTATCCTGCATGAGGGGCACTAGTTGTTGCCACACTTGAAAGTCACACGGAATGACATCCACTCAAAATAAATCTGGTTTAATCTCAAAACAGTCCGTCTCGTGGATCGTGGTGTAGGGAGCAGGCGGGCAGGCAGACAGACAGGAGAGGGATCAGGTGATGACGGCCCTTTTCACCTCATCCGTCCAGAACACCCTGCTCAGATCCTGCCCACCAAGAGCTCTGCACACAATCTGGTTATCGCAATATTAATGGGTCTGCTCAGGCCCCAGAGGCCGGGCAGAGGAGAGCAGTGAGGATGATCCCCAGTGTTTAGAAGAGTGAGCTATCGGCAACAATTAGACAAGCTACAGGGAGCAGATGTCACAGAGGAGACCTCGTAAAGGTATAGGAGATGTTAAATTAGATTGAAAAAGAAATCTCAGATCAATATATCAAGGCAGTAGAACAAGAGGACATGCCAGGAAGGGTGGGGGCGGAGGGGGATGGAGTGGGGGTGGGGGGGAAAGATGACTGAAAGTGCAGTCAAAGACACAGGTCCCGAGACAGACCTTGAACGAGGGGAGGGAGGGAGCAAGTTAGATGGACTGTGGGATCATAGAATCATAAAGCACAGAAAGAGGCCATTTGGCCCATCGCGTCTGCGCCGGCTCCGAAAAGAGCTTCCAAGTCAATCCCACTGGTCCGCTTTCTCACCATAGCCCTGCAATCCTGTCCTCCCCAAATACCCATCCACTTCTCTTCTAAAAGTTGTTATTGAATCGGCTTCCACTACCCTTTCAGGTAATGCATTCCAGATCCCAACAACTCGCTGAGTGAAAAATGTTTTTCTAACTTCCTCTCTATAACTTCCTCTCTATAACAACTATCTTAAATCAGTGTCCTCGGGTTACTGACCCACATGCAGTGGAAACAGTTTTTCACGGTTCAACCTATCAAATCCTCTCATGATCTTGAAAATCTCTATTAAATCCTCTCTTAATCTTCCCTGCTCTTGGGAGAATAATCCTAGTTTTGCTAACCTCTCCTCATAACTAAGGTCCTTCACTCCTGGTACCATCCTGGTAAACCTCCTTTGCGCCCTCTCCAATGCCCTAACATCTTTCCCAAAGTGTGGTGCCCAGGACTGAACACAGTCTCCAACTGAGGCCTAACCAGCATCTTATAAATATTCAACATAACCTCCTGACTTTTGTATTCTATGCCCCTATTTGTAAAGCCTAGTATCCCATATGCTTTCTAACAGCTGTATCGACCTGACTGCCACCTTCAGAGATTTGCTGATGTGGACCCCCAGGTCTCTCTGTTCATTTGCCCCCTTTAAGATTGTACCATCAGCTTATATTGCCTCTCCTCATTCTTCCTACCAAAATGCAACACTTGGCATTTCTCCACAGTCTCTTATGTGGCACTTTGTCAAATGCCTTTTGAAAATCTAGATAATCCTACATCTACTGCGCTACCTTCATCCACCCTCTCAGTCACTTCATCAAAAAATTGTCAGACACGATCTGCCTTTAACAAATCCGTGTTGACTGTCCTTTGTTAAACCATATTTTTCTTAGTGAGAATTTGTATTGTCCCGGATTATAGTCTCCAGAAGTTTCCCTCCTACTGATGTTAGGCTGATTGACCTGTAGTTCTCAGGTTTACCCTTCTGCCCCTTTTTGTACAGGGGGTTAACATTTGCAACCTTGCAGTTCTCTGGCACCATTCCAGTGTCCAAAGAGATTGAAAGATTGTGGCCAGAGCCTCTGCTATTTCCACCCTTGCTTCCCTCAGTAACCTGGGATGCATCCCGTCCGGACCGGGTGACTTATCTATGTTGAGCAACAAGTTCCAGAGTAGAGTTCCAGAAACCGGGAAGAGATAGTCTGATGGTGGGGCAGGAGGATGGGGGTGTAGGAAGCAGACTTCATTCATCTTGTGGCTGGTTGCGGGACGTTACTGTGCACAAAATGGCTGACAAAAAAATAACAGCAACCTCACTTGACAACAATTACGGCGAAGTGATCCAAGAACTTTTCTTGATGTGATAAGACACTACAAATCTGCAAGCTGGCTTTCTTACTTTCTTTCTGAAGGAATGTGTCCCTTTGACAAAGATGAATGGAGATTAAGCAGCACAATGTGTCAGGGATAATGACAACAAGTCTCATTAATATGTTCACACTAACACAGCTCAGCACAGACCAGCTCAGACACACAATCAGGCCAACGCTCAGGCTAATGTGAAGGAATCAGGACAGAGGATTTGCATAGCTCTGCGATGCAGACAAGTGCAGTTGACTATAATTGGACTCAAACTCCTTTACTTAATATTCTCTCAGAGTGACAACTTCTCAGTTTGATCAGGGCTGATTCGCTTTGCTCCGTTTCCGAGTCTATCTGTGAAACACACTGGTCTTCAAACGCTCCCCATCTCTGGTGTTTGTGTCTCTGGAAACTTCTGGCATTGAAGTTGTTGTTATCAAATCGGCTTCCACCACCCTTTCAGGCAATGCATTCCAGATCCAGATATGCCGCTGTGCCACGGGAATCACAGCCCCCTCTCCCTTCCCTCCTCCAGCCGGACGTTCATCACAAGATCACCAGAGGTTCAGATGAAGGAAGCCCTTTCAGCCCTTTTTTCCCACTTGCTCTATCCCTCTGCCTTGCCCCTTCCTTCCCCATTTTCAGGTCGCACCTGAAGACCTTCCTATTCGACCGTGTCTACAGTCACCTCCCCCACTTCCCCAGGCTCAAGGTCGTGCTCCAAAACTGTCAAGCGCTCTGAGACATTACCCTGGGTGAGTGGCGCTACATAAATCCAAATTGTTGTTGTTGTTCCTCCTCGCCCTGAAGATCAGCCTCATCGCTCTAACTCCAACACTAGGGATCAGTGTTCTTTTATTCCTTTTCTTTTAGGAAATAACATTAGGGGATATAGGAGATAGGTAGTTTGGGATATATGGTCATGCGATCGCCAGGAGGTGGAAGGCGAACTAGATGGGCCTTGGTATTTTTTCGTCCAGTATTTCTTACGTTCTTATCTGCCTAATTGCTTCCTGCTCTGCCTTTAAAACTGGAAAGCAGCTCTCATCGCTCTCCTCTAACATTATCATTATTAATAAACATTATTAATAATAATACCATATAACAATAACAATTAACAAACACTTTTTCTTTATGAATCTCAATTGGTTAAAAAAAAAAATTTTCTCCTGAAATTAATTTTAAAAAAGGCACATTGAACCATTCGTCTTTGATAGTGTCTGGCATGATCCTCAATTTCAGGGTAGGTGGCATGCGCTGCGAATGCAGTTATGCCTGTGCTGTGGGCTGAGACGAGGGGTAACAAGGGGGAGTGGGGTGGGGGCAGAAGGGATGATTCTCATCGCTGCTCATTCTCTACACAGCGGCTCCTAAAGGACCACGAATAGACATGTCACCAACAAGAGTTCACGTTGGCGACACTGTTAGAATCATCGTCCAAGGATTTCAGGTAAGAATTATTATTAATAATAATAATAATGCTTGCATTTGATAAAGCGACTTATCAAGTCACCGAGCCGTCCCAAAGCGCTTCACAGGATGCACTGTAAAGTGGAGTGACTGTGTATTTTGTGGGCCAAACGCACAGCAGTATCCCACAAACAGCCGTGGAGTGAGTGACCAAATTTTATTTGGTGCGGGACTGTTGGCCAGGACTCCGGCAGAGGGAAACTCCCTTCTCTTTCGAAAAGCGCCATGGGATGTTTCCATGATAACTTCCACATGAGCAGGCAGATAGGCCCTCAGTTTAAAGTTTCATCAGAAGGATGGCTCCTCCAATAATGTAACACACCCCCAGCACCGCATTAGAGCGTCAGCTTAGACTATGTGATTCCAAGTCACGACGTGGGGGCTTGAACCCACAACCTTCTGTCTCTCTGTAAGGTTGGTTGATGCACAAACTGTAAGCTCGACACACAAACTTACACGCTCACAAGATTGGCCTGGGTGAAGAAGGCGCTTTGGCTCCTCTGATCTCATCCCTGCAAAACCCGCTCAGCCGTCCCTCCACCCCCACCCCACCCCCCCACCACACTCCCCATCACAGCATCCAGTTGCTGCTGGGATCTGTTCCGAAATTGATCTTTTTCCCCCCCCTTTGCGTAGGAGGCCATTTGGCCCATGATGTCTATGTGAGGATTCACTCCTCCACTGGAGCTCTTAACTCTCACCCCATTTTTTCCTGTGTACTTTTATGTTCTTCCCATTCAAATATTTATCCAATTCCCTTTGAAACAACATTCTTTCTGCTCTCAGCCTCAAAAGCTACTTGTCACCAAACCTTCTGTGTTTTGATAACCCTCTGCTTGAAACAACTTCTTGCGTTCACCCTCTTAACACTTCCAATGACAATCCTGAGTTCATCCTGTGAATAACAATAATACGACAATGTGATATAGTGTCTAGCAAGTCAAAATGAATCAGAAGCAATTACTGTCAAGTGCACTGATTGTGTATTTTGTGTGTGAATGTGGCAGCCAATTTGCACAAAGCATTGTCCCACTACAGCCATGAGGTGAATGGGTAATGTATCTGCAGAAATGTCAGCCACGACACAGGGACTGTCAGCCAGACTCCCTTTTCTTTTCCAATAGGAGATCTTTAATGTCCACTTGAACAATGCAGCACTTCCCCAGCATTACTGACCATTCTCCTGGGGGGGTGGGGGGGTGGAGAGGAGAGGGTCAGGAACTGGGTTCAAGGTGACATGCTTAACAATATGGCAATGGGATGTCGGAGTCAAGTCCACCCTCTGTGGTGAGTTTGAGTCTGGTTTCTGAGCCAGGCAAGTCCGCAGTATTTCAGGGCACAGTACAGCCTGGCTCATCGGCAGGACTGGGAAGGGCAGACCAGTCACTGCAGGCAGAGATTCTTCCCACTCAGCTCCCGCTAACCCAGCAAGCCAAAGCCCTAACGTGTCTAGCTGGACAAGCAGCGGGAAAGCTTGCCAGACACACAATGGAATCTCCAAGCCTTTGCTCTTGCCAACCTGTGCTTAATGCTCTCTGAAATTAGGGAAGCAGGATGGATCCCTCTGGATAAAGAATGGCATTCCATTCCAATAAATATCTCAGGAAGTTCCATGTGTAGATGGCATACATACATGGAACTCTCAGTCTGGTTTGGATACTCTTGTGCACGGTGATGGTTTTCGGCGTGTGACTGATCACTGTTACTCTCTCTCTCTCTCTGTTGCTCTTTCATTCCCCATCACTCTCTGTGTTTAGTCTATTGCTTTTCCTCTGTCAATCTCTCTTTCTGTTTCTCTCTCTCTCTCTCTCTCTGTCACGCTCTCTTCCTCTCACTCTGCGAGCCTCGTGTGTGGGCACACGGGGTGTTGAATTAACAGTCTGGTTCAGAAGGTTGGGGGGGCCCGACATCGGAGACTTTGAGCTCACAGTCTAGCCCAACTTTCCAGGGCAGTTCTGGGGACAATCTGCATTGTCAGAGGTGCCATCCTTCAGTTGAAATGTTGAACTGTCTGTGACTGTTCCGGTGGATTTGAAGGCCCCATAGCACTGTTCAAAAAGAGAAGAAAGTTTATCTTGCGGTGTCCTGCCTGATAATCAAGAGATATATTCCTTTTAATAATAATAATAATCCTTGCATTTGATATGGTGCCTTATCATGTTATTGAGACGTCTCATAGCGCTTCACGGGATACACTGTAAAGTGTAGTGTAGTTTCAGAGTGAAACGCGGCAGCCAATTGCACACAGCAGTTTCCCACAAACAGTGATGGGGTGAGTGACCAATTTTATTTGGGGGGATTGTCGACCAGGACACCGGGAGAGAGAAACTCCCTTGTCTTTTCGAATAGAGCCGTGGGATCTTCAACATCCACCTGAACGGGCAGATGGGACCTCTCATCCGAAGGATGGAAAATAAAGCGAGTGAGAATCGCGGTGCGATTTTACTCTCCACTGCGTAACTTTAAAAGTGAAAGTAATGGGCTGGCAACAAAAAAACAGCGATAAGCAATCAGCAAGCCAGCTAATTAGTTATCTTGCTATTTAACAAATGGCATGAGTTTAGAGATCAGTCATCCGTCTGACACAGTGAGTGAACCTCGCGGTGGGGAAAATAAAAGCTGCCTGACTGAGAGATTTTCACACAATGCCAACCTGTGTTCCGTAATGACAATATGGAAATCTGGTTATTGTCACCGCTTACCTCACTGACACCCAACACGGTAATTAGGCACAATCGGGCAGACTATTATTCAGGTAGAATGTTCCAGGGAAAGCTCTCCCCTGAGAGTGTCAACCATCCGAGCTACAAAAAAAAAGTGATTAAATATATTTGTCAAATATTTTTACTGCGCTCCCCCACTTCCCTCCGCTACCCCACTCATCCTCACCCCTCCACCTCCACCCCCCCCCTCCACCCTGCAGCCAGGCTTGTCTTGTTGCAGATTTTAAATTAAATCACAAAGCAGCTGCCGGGAAAATATTGTCCCAGCGAGCAGGTTCCTGAACCCAATTAATGATTTCCTTCTTCTTTCCAATTGGTTCGTATCACTGCTGTAAATGAAACAGCTCATGCGAGGATTGGGGTGTAGGAGGTACACAGCTCAGCTTCACACACTCCAACTTGCCTTTACATAGCACCCCTCACACAGGGTGGCCTCCATCCATCCAAATAATAATAATAATGTGGTCAATCAATCCACGGCTGTGTGTGGGATGCTGCTGTGCCCGATTGGCTGCCGTGTTTCGCCAACAAAATCTACAGTCAATTCATTTTACGGAAAAGTCTGTGAAGCGAGTTGAGGCGTCTTGAAGACATGATAAGGTGCTGTATCAAATACAAGGAATAATATTATTATTATCTATTCAAACATCTCCCAAACCAGTAACCTGACCCAGTACCAAGCAGCCAACGTGCCCGTACTATCGGTTCTGGGTTCAAACGTTGTGGCTTCAAGCCTCCACAATAAATAATAATATTAAGAAATAATAATATTAATTAAAATAATCGTTGCAAAATTGTGCCTTTCACACAAGGAGGACACCTCAAAGCTCTTCGCAGGACATATTTGTAAAATGTAGTGACAGACTGGACTGCCACAGTCAAGCTGCCACATGCCCGTTCAGTTGGACATCAGTGGTGTCCATTAAAGACATTTAAGAACTTTATCGGAAAGGCAGTCATTCTCTTTCTCTTCTCTTTCAAATTCAAGATCCTCATCCTCACCTACAAGGCCACTCACGGCCTCGCTCCCTCCTACGTCTCTGACCTACTATCCCCCTACTTACCTGCCGGTACCCTCCGTTCCTCTGGCTCCGGTCTGCTCCACATCCCCCGCTCCAACCGCCCGACCATCGGTGGCCGGGCCTTCAGCCTCTCAGCTCCGAGGCTCTGGAACTCTATCCCCAGTGCCTTCGCCGCTTCCTCCCTTTCCTCCTTCAAGGCCGGTCTCAAGACCTTTCTCTTTGACCGAGCCTTCAGCTCCCCTCTCGACTCTCTACCCTATCCTCGCTCCCTCCCTTCCCTCCCCTCACCCTGACCATTTCCCCCCTCCTCGCTCCCTCCCTTCCCTCCCCTCACCCTGACCCAATGCTCGGGTCCCGACCCAACTGTACAGCACCTTGGGACGTCCTCCCGACATGAAAGGCGCTCTATAAATGGAATTTTGTTGTTGTTGTTGTTTCTCTCTCTCTCCCAGTGTCCTGGCCAACAATTCGCCAGGTATAATCACTCACTCACATTATGGCTGTGTGCAGGACATCACTGTGGGTTGATGAGCTGCAAACACAGACAGGAGCCCGGCTCAGTATCTGGTCTGAAGGACGGCAGGTTTCCACGGCAGAGATTCTTACACAGAATACCAGTGTGTGTGTGTGTGGGTGGGGGTGTGTGGGCGGAGGCGAGTTCTGAGGAGATGAGGGATTGTTTACCGTCCATTCATTCACTCACTGTTTTTCTGTGCCATTGTCTGAGCAAAGAACGAGGTGTTCCCTGAGCCGCTCTTCACCTGGACCAGAGTCGGGGGCCGCCTGCTGGACGGGAGACAGGACCACGACGGCAAGTTACTGACCCTGGAGCGGGTACCGGCCGAGCTGAATGGTTCCATGTACCGCTGCACCACACAGAACCCCCTGGGCTCCACCGACACCCACACCAGGCTTATCATCTTCGGTAAGTGCAGCCGGATTCTCCCTCTCCCTGAGCAGCCATGAGCGCTGGGGCAGTGAGCACTTTAAGTGCCATGGGATGCTACCCTGCTGTGTGAAGGCAAGTTATTGTTGTGGAGCAGGCGGGCAGGCAGGAGGGGAAGCCACCCTCTGCGTAAAAAGACCATAATTAGCGCATCAACTGGTCACTGGCTAATTAGCACCGTTGGTGTTAATTAACACATCGCACATCACAATTATTCTATTACAAGGTTCTTTCTATGATTGTTTGCAAAGCACACAGTCGCTGCCCTTCACTGCTGTGAGTCTGTGAAGCTCTGGATGTGAAGCGATGAGGGCAAATGTACGGATCGTATTGTTTTCATTGCACACATTTCCACCTCTGCATCCTCCTTCACCCTGACCACGCCTGCCGTTTCCTTCGCTAGGTTGACACTGTCTGGACTCCATGTCGCTCACTCAATCCACACTACCCATCGAGAGATGGCATTTCAGCGGCTTGTTGTGCATTCGCTGGGACTCTGTTCCCATCCGTCTCCGTCCCTCCCCCCCTCCACCCTTTCCCTCTTTCAAGGCACAAACCCTTTGACTGCACTTTTGAACATTTTGTGCCCAAATCACACACACTCAGATCAGCTCTCACCCTCATCTCTGGTGCCCAGCCCCTATTGTTCAGCACCTTGGGCCATCCTCCCGACATGAAAGGCAATGTATAAATGTAAATTGTATTAGAATTATACACTGATGAAGGGAGGATGAGGCAGACCTCATTGGCACATCCAACAACAGCAACAACTTGGATTTATATAGCGCCCTCCACGCCGGACAGAGTCTCAGAGCACTTGACGTAACGGATCCTGGGGCCGGGCAGAGGGGGAGGGGCTGGGGGGAGGGGCTGGGGGCGGGGAGGGGGAAGGGGAGGAGCCAGGGGGAGTGGGAGGAAGGTGACCATAGGTGCGGTCAAAAAGAAAGGTCTTCAGCCGAGACCTGAAAGTGGGAAGAGAGGGGGTGAGGTGAAGGGAGTGAGGAAAGCAGTTCCGGAGCCTCGGGGTGTCTTGAAGTCGATCCTCTCTGGGACAGGACTGGGAGGATCGGGGAGAGGGGTTTGGGGTTGGGGGGAAGGGCCAGGACTGGGGGGATCGGGGAGAGGGGTTTGGTGCGGGTGAGAATGCGGGCGGCAGAGTTTTGAATGACCTGGATTTTATGGATGGTAGTGGATGGGAGACCACCGAGGAGGGCGTTAGAGTAGTCCAGCCGAGAGGTGACAAAGGCAGGGACCAGAGTTTCAGCGGCTTTTGGGGAGAGGTGTTGGCAGAGACAGGCGATGCGTCGGTGGTGGAAGAAGGCGGTGCTGGTGTGGGACCGGATGTGGGGAAAGGAAGAATAATTGGGGGTCGAACCTGAGGCCGAGGTTGCGTAACGGTTCGGAGAGTTTTAGGGGGAGGTCGGGTAGGTGGAGGAGGTGAGAGCCATGAGATTTTAGACGTTGATGAGAGCCAAAGAGTATGGCTTCCGTCTTGTCAACGTTCAGCTGAAGGAAATTTGCACTCATCCAGCCCCTGAGATCTGACAGGCAGCTGACAGAACATCAGGGGACTGGGGGTCGCAGAGAGGTGGAAAAATAGAGTTGGGTGTCGTCCGCGTACATGTGGAAGTGTACCCCATGTCTGCGGATGACATCCCCAAGAGGGAGCATGTAGATCAGAAAGAGGAGGAGCCAAGAATGGATCCTTGGGGTACCCGCAGGTAACCGGGTGAGAGCGGGAGGAGAAGCCATTTGTGCAGATGTACTGCTGGCGGTTTATGAGGTAGAACTCGAACCAGGCGAGTGCGGTCCCACTGAGGTGGATGACGGAGGAAAGACGGTGGAGGAGGATGGCGTGATCATAAGAACATAAGAATTAGGAGCAGGAGTAGGCCATTCGGCCCCTCGAGCCTGTGCCCCACTATTTGATAAGATCATGGCTGATCTTCAGACCTAACTCTAATTACCTGCCCTGTCCCCATATCCCCCAATCCCTCTATTTTTTAAAAATCTATCAGTCTCAGCCTTGAAGATGTTCAAGGATTGACATCTACAGCCTTCTGGGGGAGTGAATCCCATAAATTCACTACCCTCTGAGTGAAGAAATGTTTCCTCAACTCTGTTCTAAAAGGCTGACCCTTAATTTTCAGACTGTGACCCCTGGTTATAGATTCTCCTCCCGGGGAAACAGACCCTCTGTGTCTACTTTATCAGCCCTTTAAGAATCTTATAAGTTTCAATAAGATCCCCCTAATTCTTCTGTACTATAGAGAATACAGCCCCAGTTTATTCAGCCTATCCTCATAGGTCAGTCCCCTCATCCCAGGCACTAACCGAGTGAATCTACGCTGCACCCCCTCGAGGGCAAGTATGTCCTTTTATAAATAAGGAAACCAAAACTGCACACAATACTCTCGGTGCGGGCTCACCAAGGCCCTGTACAGTTGCAGCGAGACTTCCCTACTCTTGTACTCTAAACCTTGTACTCTAGGTGAATAACTTCACACTTCCCCACATTAAATTCCATCTGCCACCTACTCACCCACCCCCCAAGCCTATCTATATCCCGTTGCAATCTTTTTGCATCATCCTCAGAGCTCACTCTCCCACCGAGTTTAGTGTCATCCGAGAATTTAGATAAGTTACATTCAATGTCCGCGTCTGGATCATTGATGTAAATTGTAAATAGCTGAGTCCCAGCACTGATCCTTGTGGCACTCCACTAGTCACCTCCTGCCAATTCGAGAATGACCCGTTTATCCCTACTCTCTGTTTTCTACCCGTTAGCCACTCTTCAATCCATGTTAATATGTTCCCATTAAACCCGTGGGCCTTAACCGTGTGCAATAGCCTTTTGTGTGGAACTTTGTCAAATGCCTTTTTAAAATCTAAATATACTACATCTACTGGTTCCCCCCTCTCTAACCTGCAGATACATCTTCAAAAAACTCTAACATATTAGTTAAGCATGACTTCCCTGTTGTAAAGCCATGTTGACTCTGCCTAATCTTGTTATGGTCTTCCAGGAATCCCATAACGACATCTTTAAATAAGGACTCAAGAATTTTCCCTCCCACTGATGTCAGACTAACTGGTCAAGAGTTCCCCATCTTTTCTCTCCCACCCTTCTTAAATAGTGGTGTTACTTTTGCAATCTTCCAATCAATGGGAACCGTTCCAGAATCCAGAGAATTTTGGAAGATCAAAAACAAACCATCCACTATCTCAGTAGCCACCTCTTTTAAAACTCTAGGATTTAGGCCATCAGGTCCAGGAGATTTATCAGTTTTAAGACCTGATAATTTACCTAAAACCATTTCTTTACTAATAATAATTCCCCCAAGTTGCTCGCTAACATTTTCTTCTTGGTTCCCCTCTATTCTTGGTTGGTTTTCAGTGTCTTCTAAGGTGAAGACAATTGCAAAGACTTGTTTAATGACTCTGCCATGTCTTTGTCCCCCTACTATAATTCCCCCCATCTCTGCCTGTAGCAGACCCACATTTATTCCATTTTCTCCCTCTTAATCACTTTTTTGGTTCTCCTTTGTTGATCCCTAAAGTTCTCCCAATCCTCGGGTTTACTGCTCATCTTAGCTGTTTTATAGGATTCTTCCTTTAACTTTATACTGTCCCTAACTGCTCTAGTTAGCCACGGTTGGGCCACCTTTCCCGTAGCATTCTTATTCCTCAAAGGAATATGTGTTCGCTGGGAATTTTGCACTATCTCCTTAAAATTCTGCCATTGCTGGTCTACTGTCAAATCCTTAAGTCTAATTTCCCAGTTTATTTTGGCTAAATCCTCTCTCATAGCAGCAAAGTTGGCTCTACTTAAATTTAAAACCTTTGCTTCGGACTTAACTGCTTCTCTCTCTAACTTAATGCTAAATTCCATTGTATTATGATCACTTTGCCCTCGAGGAGCCCTAAGTTCCAGTTTGCTGATCACCTGCTTCATTGCACAAAACAAGGTCTAATATGGCCTGTTCCCTGGTTGGCTCCTCGGCATACTGATCCAGGTAATTATCCCTAACACATTCTATAAACTCTTCCTCTATCACATTTTTCCCAATTTGGTTGGCCCAATCTATGCGCAGATTAAAATCGCCCACAGTTAATGTTTTTCCTTTACTACATGCTCCGCTAATTTCCTGATTTATACCTTGAGAGATACGGTGACTGTTGTTCGGGGGTCTATAAACTACTCCCACTAGAGTTTTCTGTCCCTTGTTGTTACGTACCTCTACCCATACTGACTCCACTTCCTGCTTTTCTGATTTAAAATCTTTCCTCTCGACTGTTTTTATCCCATCCTTTATTAGCAGGTCCACCCTCCCAACTGTTTACCACATTGCCTATCTTTCCTATATACCACATACCCTGGAATATTTAGCTCCCACCCTTGATCTCCCTGGAACCGTGTCTTGGTGATGGCTACTGGATCATACCCGTTTGTTTCTATTCGTGCATTTAACTCATCAATCTTGTTTCGAATGCTTCGCGCATTCAGATATAGCACCTTTAATTCTGACTTCAGGCTATTAGTCCTATTCACCAGTACCCTATCCCTGGGCTTCCTTTCCCCACTTGACACCCTTTGCTCATCTCCCTGGTTAAACTGCTCTCCCACTTTCATCAGTCCTAATTTTAATTGTAACGGATTACATGTGATTGAATTTACCACACTCCCCCCCACCCCCTTAGTAGTTTAAAGCCCTGTCTACCTGCCTATTTATTCATGTTGCCAGGACATTTGTCCCAGCCCTGTTTAGGTGGAATCCATTCCTTTGGAATAGCTCCTGTCTCCCCCTCAACTGTGTCGAAATCGGAGGAGAGGTCCAGGAGGACAAGGAGGCAGAGAGAGCCCTGGTCACAGATAGAGAGGATGTCATTTGTGACTTTCACAAGCGCAGTCTCTGTACTGTGGGTGGAAACTGGACTGGAGGGGTTCGAAGAGGAAGTGGGAGGAGAGGTGTGCGCGGAGTTGATTGGCAACAACGCGTTCTAGGACTTTGGTGAGGAAGGGCAGGTTAGAAATGGGGTGGTAATGGCTGGGGTTTGAGGGATATAGGGAAGGCTTTTTGAGGAGGGGGGTGATGACAGCAGTTTTGAGGGGGGCAGGGACTGAACCAGAGGAGAGGGACTGGTTGATGACATCAGCCAGTAGTGGGCAGAGGAGGGGGAACTGGGTGACTAGCAAGTTGGTGGGGAGAGGGTCGAGGCAGCAGGTGGTGGGTTTCATACAGATGATCGTGGGTGAGAGGGAGGAAGGAATGTAGGATGTGGTAGGAGCTGATGATGGGGAGGGTAAGGGGGATGGAGAGGGAGTGGTGGTGGGTGACAAGAGGCAGGAGGATGAGGCTGCCTGGCGGATGTTGATATTTTGGATGAAAAGAAGTCCATGACCTCCTCGTCCAAGGTTCTAACATGGAGGTGAGGAACCAGCCTCGAGTTTGACGGTGGCCCAGAACACACGTTTGCTTGTTAAAGATTCTCGCCTGTCATCACTGCGTTCCGGCCTCCATCATGTACATTTTTGTCATTTTTCATCTTACAGAAAATCCAAACGTTCCTCAAGGCAGAAATCAGAAAAGTGGTGAGTCTGGAGTCCGTTAGATACTGTCCTTAACAATACTGTCCTTAACCTGTGCCGTTCTACCTTCATCCTCCTCCCAACTCAGGCCGACCCCAGCCACCATTGCTACAGGGTGGGAAGCTCAGAGCCACCATGGTTGAGACCCATCTTCATCCTTATTCACAAGCTCACCAGCAGGAGTGGTTGGAGGGCCACTAATGTTGGCAATCCAAAGTTGGGTTTCAGCACCAATTTCCAACCAGTGAATGATAAAGATTTGGAGCTAATTCTACAATGGATTTCACCTCCTCCTGCTTTAACCTGTGTCTAAACAACCCTGACTCAATGGTACCAACAGCCTCCTGCTGCTGATTTCTCCATCTCTAGCTTAAATGTTATGTTTGTGGGACAGGTCAGCATAGAGATACATAGCGTAAAAGAGAGATACACAGAGTTACATTATTATTTATTATCATTGTTATTATTGAGATACAGAGAGATACGTAGAGTTAAAGAGAGATTGGGTTGCACAGAAATTGAGTTACAGAGACATAGAATGATACAACATGGACCATCCAAACAACTCGTCCATGCCAGGATCCATTCTTTACAGAAGCCGCCACCTCTCCTATCCTTCTCTACTCCCTTCTCGCTCGTATAGCATCAAGTTTCCTCTTAAACACATTGATTTTCTTTACTTCAACTACCGAGTCCGGCAGTGAGTTTACACTCTGAGCCCTGCCCTGTGTGTCAGACGTGTGTGTGTGTGTGTGTGTCAGGCTGTGTGCATGGAGATGTGTGTGTGTCAAACTGTGTGTGTGGGGACATTGCTGTGTGTGTGTGTCAAACTGTGTGTGTGGGGACATTGCTGTGTGTGTGTCAAACTGTGTGTGTGGGGACATTGCTGTGTGTGTGTCAGGCTGTGTGTGGGGGACATTGCTGTGTGTGTGTCAGGCTGTGTGTGTGGGGACATTGCTGTGTGTGTGGGACATTGCTGTGTGTGTGGGACATTGCTGTGTGTGTGGGACATTGCTGTGTGTGTGGGACATTGCTGTGTGTGTGGGACATTGCTGTGTGTGTGGGACATTGCTGTGTGTGTGGGACATTGCTGTGTGTGTGGGACATTGCTGTGTGTGTGTCAGGCTGTGTGTGTGGGACATTGCTGTGTGTGTGGGGACATTGCTGTGTGTGGGGACATTGCTGTGTGTGTGGGACAATGCTGTGTGTGTGTCAGGCTGTGTGTGTGGGACATTGCTGTGTGTGTGGGGACATTGCTGTGTGTGGGGACATTGCTGTGTGTGTGTCAGGCTGTTCCTGTCTGTGTGTCAAGCGGAGTCTAACGCTGTTCCCGTTTGCAGGTGGGAGTCGGCCCCCCGGCAGTGTGACAGTCACCATGGCGATGGTTCTCGCAGTCACGCTGGACTTGACGTGATGCCCCACTCAAGGCGGGTGTGGCCGAGAGAGAGGAGTGGGAGCATGGGGCGGTGGGGGAGGGGAGGGCGGTGACAGTTCATAGATGCCACATCACAAGATGTTTTTTATTTTCATTTTTTTTAAGAGTTTGTGATGTTCCATTTCCTATAGCATTCTTGGAGTCTGAAGGTGTGCTGCCTGCTTCCTGTGTTTCTCAATAAAGGTTCTGTCTGTTTAAATGGTTAGCACTCCTCGTGTGTGGGTGGGGGGAAGGGTGGTGGGATGAGGCAGGAGGAACACATGTACCAGTACGGAATTGAACATGGTGGGGAGAGGCTTTGTGTGACTCTTCTGTGTAATAATAATAATCCTTGCTTATTCGAGACGTCTCAAAGCACTTCACAGGATACACTATAAAGTGCGTTCACTGTATATTTTGTGTGTGAAATGTGGCAGCCAATTGCGCACAGCAGTGTCCCACAGAGGCGTGTGGAGCAAGGAAACTTACCTAATTTTTTGCCCTGCCCAGGAATCGAGGGCTCTAAGCAATATGCTACAAATGCAAGTTGTTATGGTTCTGAGTCTTAACCATTCTGGCAGAATGGCAGCTGGCTTAAATTAATGATAATGCTTACACTTGGTAAAGCGCCTTATCACATCTTCGAGACGTCTCAGTACCCTTCGCAGGATATACTGTAAAGTGAAATGACTGTATATTTTGTGGGCAAAATGCAGCAGCCAATTGCACACAGCAGCGTCCCACAAACAGTCATGGACCACCCACCCACCCTAGTCTCAGTCTGCGAGGTGGGTCAGTCCTGAATCAGTCATAATGTACAGGGATGGGGAGCAGTTAAATGGGATTTGCATACTATTCGCCCTGCATCACAGACTTCATTGTGGGCAGCACGTCCAAGCAAACTATATATTCTGCCAGGACTAACCCAGATGTGGGTCTCTCACTCTCAGTATCTGTCCCCCGGTGTCTGTCTCTCTCTCTCTCATTCTCGCTCGTACCTCCACTTGAGGTTTTTCATACAGTGGAGTTCAGAGGTCGGGGATCAGAGGTACAAAACCCCACCGCCGAAGCAGTTTCCCCCCCACCGCCACCTTCCCAACGTAAAGGCCACAGAGGTCTTAAAGGGGCAGCATCCCATTGCAGACTTTTCCGGTCTCTGTTAGTCGCTGCCAGACCCTCACACAGCACACCACCGTAATGAGACCCTGGCACACACTGTGTGAAGGTAGCATCTCTCAGCTTGAGTTCACAGTCATTACATTTCACAGCACCATTCACATGAGCAGGAGGAGGCCATTCAGCCCATCGAGCCTTCTCCAACACACACGTCCCACTCCCCGATCCCTCCACCCGCCACATCCCTCGGTACCGTTTACTCCCCGAGCAGCTATCGCTGTCTAAGATCCCGTGTCCCATCTCTCCACTCTGACTCTCTGGGCTGTGCAGCCTGCAATCCCAGCCCCGCTTTGAGCGACCACCCTTCTAGTCTCCATACTCACCCATTTCACTCTAATGTTAAGGTCATAACCTCTCGTCCCTGGTATAGGCCGAGGGTCCTGAAGGGAGAAGCGAGCAGGAGTCGGGTGGTGGGGGAGTCTCTGGTTATTGCACCATCAGCTTCAGGAGCCTCTCCAGTCAATGGCGGAGCTCACGCCTCGGGGATCCCAAACAAAACCTAGGCTTGTGGAGTCCTGTAGCTCAGTGATTAGAGCACTCGTCTCGCAAGCGAGAGACCTGGGATCGATTCCCGGCAGGGCGAAATATTGGGCAAGTTTCCTTACTCCACACACTTCACACTCTCTGTTTACCCAGCAGTAAGTAGGAACCCAGTTGTTAGTCAATTGGCGGATTGCTTTCCGGGGGTAATAATCCCTTCAAAAAAATGTTATCACTCGCTCTATGAATCTTTGTGGGACGCCGCTGTGTGCAATTGGCTGCCACGTTTCACCCACAAAATACAATACAATACAAAATAGTATATTCTGTGAAGCGCATTGAGACATCTCGAAGACGTGATAAGATACTGTATCAAATGCAAGGATTATTATTATAACATTCACGTTCAGGTTCTCTACTGAACTTTAATCTTCCGATAACAGGGGGCGCTTCTGCTGAAAGTACGTTCAGGATTGTCCTGGGGCATTAGCCTGGCCTGCGAGCTCACAGAATCCCAGCCCCCACCCCACAAGCCCCCTGGTCATCTGACTGAATTCTTAAACAGAATAATTTAGGATCAGTGAGGTGAACAATCAGTGAGATAAAAAGTACGGTATGTTGTAAGCTGGAAACACCATCAGAATTTCAGCATGTTAAATGTGATAATATTGATCGGATGATGAGCTAACTCCTGCAGTTTTAATACTAAATCTCAGAGGATTGCTGAAAGACTTTGGATTATTGCATTTTCACTACTCAAGAGTGCTCCCAGCACTTCAAACCCAGCCTTCTTTTTTCCAAGAAAAATTATATTTCAGAGTATCAGGGAAAAGAGCAGGGAATGGGGTTAGAATAGAGAGCTTCAGTGGAGGAGTGAGCACCAGCACAGACATGATGGGCTAACAATCCCCCCCAGATGAAATCGGTCACTCGCTTCATGGTTACTTGTAGGACATCGCTGAGTGCAAATTCACCTACAAGATACACAGTCAATCCATTTCACAGTAAATCCTGCAAAGCACTTTGAGATACCCTTCTGATGTGGTAAGACGCTGCATCAAATTTGAGGATTATTATCATTATTACTATTATAAATTTGCAGTGCGTAAAGCAGGCGGATATGATAGGAATCCTGGCAGGAGATTAAACGGCCACCACCACATGACCCTCTGCTGTTACTGTGGAGACCCTCTCCCGTCTGATCCGGGCACTGAGACAACCTGGGTTGAAGCCAGAGTCACATCCCAGGCAGATTTGGTGGGAAGCAAATTGGGAGAAAGAGGGATTTACAACCCCTAGCTCAGCAACACCCAAATAAAAGAGAAATAGTTTGAGAAGAAAGAGAGGAGTCTAGTGATTGATTAGACCAACCTCACAATCAATAACACGCTGCCGCTAAACTCTCGATAATGGAATAAAGCTGCCTCACTTTGTTTTATTGATTATCTACGCTAACGCTCACTCTACTTGACAGACTCTCAGCTCCTTCCGTCCACAAGCTGCAGACCATCCAGAACTCTGTGGCTCATGTCCTCTCCCTCACCCATCAACGTGAGCCGATCACGTGCCCACCCCCCACTCTCCCCACTCCCCTTTCACCTGGTTTCACTGGCTCCCTGTACCCCCCCAGCCGATCGAGCTCAAGACCCTCGTCTTCACCTTTAAATGCCACAACAGTCGCCCGACACGTAGGCAAAGGGTACGCTGTCTCACACAGGTTTGATAATTATCCAAAGTGTTATCGAACCCATTACAAAACGTTGCATTTTTCCGATCTATTGCTAAAGACCGGCAGCCGATTCCCTGTGAAGTGGAGTGATGATCCACTCCATCACCACCCGGCCTCTGCTTTGTTAACAAACGGTCTGTGTCAAGATTTGCAGCAACGCAACGAAAGCACATCACAGGGTGATGGATCCAAGAATTAATAAACTGGTGAAATAGACTTGATGGGCTGTGGATGTCTTGCCCTTGTCTCCCTATGATAGCTCGAGGCTAAAGCCCAGTGATTCCACCCCACTTCCGATTGCTGTTAGAACTCAAACTCCTATTGTTTTGCTTACTGCTGTGTTTTTGATGTAATCACTTCTCACAGTGTGGTGGGGTGGGATTGAGGGATTGGGGGGGGCAGACATGCCTGGAGAAGGCCCTGAGGCCGGCCGTGTGGGGCAGGTAGGGAAAGGCGGAGGGAGTGGTCAGGGATGGCACAATCCGTGTGCAATGGAGCATCAGATTAGACTATGTGATTCCAAATCCTGACTTTGGGGCTTGAACCCACAACCTTCTGACTCATAAATAATAATTTGGTCTCTCAATCCACGACTGTTTGTGGGACTCTGCTGTGTGCAATTGGCTGCTTTGTTTCACCCACAAAATACAGTCAATTGACTTTACAGTATATTCTGTGAAGCGCTTTGAGACGTCTCAAAGATGTGATAAGACGCTATATCAAATGCAAGTATTATTAGTATTATTTATTATTCTTACTGAAGAAATGTCAGGTGGCTGTGATGGGAAGACAGTCAAGCAGATTGTTAATTCAAATTGTTATTTTTTTTTCATCCCCTGATGTGTCTCATCCACCCATCTGGTGAGAGACAAACATAGAGACAGACTAAAAGCCCCAGCGTGAAATCCTCCAAGAGTCAAACCCAGGGGCACAAAAGGACATTCGTTATAAATAAATGATAGCAAAACCCTCTGAATTATCCTCAATTAATTACAAAGGACATTTAATTAAAATGCACTTTGCTTCCCTTCGTCCGGGACTCTGAATAATGTAAGCATTGGGCGTAAGACTCTGTCAATATTTAATGAAACTCAAACATCTCACACCCCAACCACTGCAGATACCAACGTCCAACATTCAACATTCAACACTGTTCGGGACACTCTGCAATCAATGGTTTAAAGAAACTTTACTGATCATTTCTAGCTGCTGAAGGTTTCACAGTCCAGGCTGACGCCACTGAAATGTTTTTATTTAATTGCTTGTTTTTTGGTCAGCCAGGTGTCTGACACTTGCCAAAACCCGTCACTGTGCTTGGGGTAAACTGCTGGGAGCCTGGCCAGTGTGGTGCTGGGGAGAAGGTTAGAGTGAGATGGGATTAAGTGAATTAATGTGGTGTAATCTCAATCAATTATAATCACAAATAATCTTAATCCTGTCATTCACTTCATGGTTGATGGCCGAGGTGGGGGAAAGGCAGAAATATGGAGTAGAAAGGATAGTTGAGGGGACCATCTGACCATTTATGAACAACAACAATTTGCATTTAACAATGCGCCCTTCATACCGAGCAGCATCCCAGAGACTTTGTCCAGGAGTGGCCCTGACTGGTTGTATACACTTCTGGCCACTGCCCAAGCTCCAGAGACTGGAGAGCAGCAAGGCTGATCCCAGTGTTAGAGGAATGAGCACTGAGCAGCGATTAGACAAGCTTGAGCTCTTCAGTCTTAAAAAGAGATGTCTCAGAGGAAGCTTTACGGAGGTGTATAAAATGCTAAATGGGATTGAGAATTAATACCTACAGCAACGCTCACCGATAATTCAAGACAAGAGGC